CCTTTAACCTTGCCTTTCTCTCCCCCAACACAAAACCCTGCTTGCCCCAGCTCCTTTCCCCCCCCCTCCAACACTACTAAACACTCGTATACTTGCCCTTCTCCCTTCCTTCACTGCTGTCACATAGCTGTGTATATTTCCATCACCAGTCTGCTTTTACCGGTTCTCACGGTCTCTTCGCTTGCGGATTTCTTATATTTTTCCTTCTACCCTGAAGATGGAGGCGATACGTTCCTCCGAAACGTCGGTTAACACCACATATACACGGTGCCAAATCCCAGAAGACCGCTTTCTTCATAGTCACCACCATGAAAGCCTCAAATCTTACATGACCAAATTATGTCTGTTTAAATTGTATGAAATGCAGTTTTGACACAAGAAAATTCAATTTCAAGAAATAGTGAAATATATCACTTGAGTGGGTTCCCAGTCGTACATAAAACAATACAGTACAAACATAATATTTTATGTAGAATGTAAACTGGAAGAGAAATTCATTTTCTTTTGGAGGGAAACTAATGCCCATACTGGTATCAGTCCTGAGACGGGCGCGCCGATCTCCACGCTCCTCTCTCTTGCCCGCTCTTGCCCTCTTGCCATTCCCACTATTAGCTAACCTACCGTGATGTAAACTGCGTAATACAGGGGAGGGGAGCGTGGGGAGCGACGAACAGAACGGAAACGGAGAGAAGAGCGGGGAAGAGTAACGTATTTGGTGGAGAGTGTGAAACATGGGAAAGTATGCGTAGTAATCATAATTGGTGATAAATCTTATGAAAGAACAAAATCCAGTGATAAAATGACGTCTTGGAGAGACAAGGTAATTGTAAGATTTGTCATCAATTTGAACAGGTTGCTTGTAAGAATATACCGCTTGCGTAGTGATTTTGTTGTAAGCTGGGCCATAATCTAACACATATTTAATACTTTCTAGCAGTGGCGTAGAAAATTAATTATAGTAAAGCATTTGCAGCCATTTCCCAAGAGCCCTGCAGTTTCCAAAATGGTTTGGAAGTTTTATGTATGGTTAAAAATAGACCGTTTTTTATATTAGTGTGATTCATATATTATGTAAAGTACGACCTATTGGTACTCTGCCAGTGGAAGTAATGATGGGTATGTCCAATAGAACATGTATTGTTATGCAGTGGTCTACATGAATGAATACAATTTACAAATTAGAATGAGTTTAAAATATAGTTTGGGATACTGATATGTTGGGATTTTGGACTTTATCCATCGTCCTGGTTTTTAAGATAACAAATAAATCACTGGAGTGATTGAGGCTAGCTCTTTCTAAGGGACCCAACTGAATAGGTGTTTTCCTTCACCTGAGGATGGAAACAGATCCAGTTTCCGAAACGTCGTGTTTTTATTTGTTATCTTAAAAACCAGGACGATGGATAAAGTCCAAAATCCCAACATATCAGTGTGTTATACACCATCGTCAGAATCCTATAGTAACTAATAGTTTGGGATAGTCTGTATCAATTGTGGGAAAGATTATATATTCAGAATTGAAGAAAAAATAGCAATTATCTTTATGAAAGCAGATTGAATCAGCAGATGATAATTCGTAATTTATTTACATCCATAAACTGCTACACAAGTACAATTGGACAAGTCGGTTTAAACCATATAAAACACTAAAACTCAACAACTCTTTAAAATATACAAAATGATACATAAGACTGAGAACAATACATCATTGTAGGATCATTGTCCCCCCCACTGAAGCTAGCAACTGCAGATGACAGCCACCAATAATCCAGTTTTCTGCCCCTTTACTCACAGTACATTTTTTCCATTTTGTTATTTGCGGTCAAAAACAAAGATCTATTTTTATCTAATTCTGAGATTCATACAATCAACACAAGACATAGTAATAACCTCCATTATCCCTCATGTAACTTAACTGTCTTTCAAAAGGGAACATATTATTTTGGAATTAAAATTTTTAATAAACTTCCACCTTGTATAAAAGAACAAGCTCATGAGATTAAAAAATTTAGGTCTGCTGTTAAAAGATTCCTATTTTTAAAGTCATTTTATTCATTGGACGAATATTTTAACTGTGACAACAATTAAAGTTTCGGATTTGTTACAGGTGGTAGCTGATAGCGCCTTATTGTTATAGATAATGGTTTTTGTTTCATGTTGTATATTATTAAATTTAACTGGTATGACATTACACATCTGTGTTGCAGTATGTGATTTACTCATGTTGACTATTTCTATATCCATTGGTGTTAAACCATGTAAGGATTTATGGAATGCTGAATAAATGAAATGAAATATAAAGCAACACATACACTTATACCATCTATATACATGCACACCACATCAGAACCAAACCGAGTCACCAAACTGCCACCCAACATTGTTACTAAAATAACTCAGGCAGAGAATAAAAACAGTTTTGTAATGAATAACTTTTAATTAATTTTTTTAAAACTTTAAAATGTTTTATTCTATTTAATTCAGGGGGGCAAGCTGCTATGTATTTTAATTCCCATATTAATTATATTTATTTTGCAATGAACAGTGTTGCATCAGAACTTTAAAATTTTCTTGTTGCAGTATACTGCAGCATTCTTAAGCAATGGAGATGAAACCACAGCAGAAGAATTAAAATATACAATATTTGCAACAAAGACAATCTATCGACCACTACCAGGTTTTGAAAGTTTCTCAGTAGACATTCAAGATAGGCTGACTGCAGGAGTGGATTGTGATGAAGTATATCCAAACATTTATATTGGTGATGCGTAAGTTCTTCATAATTATGTGTCTTAATATCATATTATATATATTATTAAGGATTACAGGATGTATTATTTTATTTACCTATTTATTTGCAGTGGTGCTGCAAAGAACAAACACTACCTCAAGAGGATTGGGATCACCTATGTCTTGAACACAGCAGAAGGAAACAGATTTGGAATGGTGAATACCAACAAAGACTACTACAAGGACACAAACATCAAATATATGGGTATTCAGTTATTGGATCTGCCAGTGACTAATATCAGTGTGCATTTTCAAGAAACTGCTGACTTCATTGAAAGTGGTGTAAAAAGTGGAGGTAAATTTAAAGTTCTAATTTTTTAATTGAGATGAGGTCTGTAACATCAGCTGGATCCTTAATACAGTTTTAGTTCAGACAGATAAAGTATACCATATCTGTCTGAAAATTTCATCTTAATTAAAGGCCTGAATTAATGTTTAAGAGTACCTTGTTAAATATTTATTTGATAAAAGGGAAGATTTTTATAAAATTTTGATCATGTACTTGACCTCTTTAGCAGGTATCCACATCCTGTGTGCCACCAAACTTCGTTTTCCATCGGGTTATAAGGCCTGGCACTTATTTACTTACTTATTCATGGAGCCGAGCCCTTCTTGAGAAGCCAAACCTGCAACTACTCAAGAATTTCCCAGTATTTTATGGAAGCCAAAGGTTCATTACCATGTTCACAAGAGCCCTTTACTGGTCCCCATCCTGAGCCAGATCAATCAAATCTATCCCATCCTATCTCTCGTAAGACCCATTTTAATATTGTCCACCCACCTATGCCTTGGTCTTCCCAGTGGTCTCCTTCCTCCTGGCTTTCCCCACCAATATCCTATATACATTCCTGTTTGCCCCCATTCAAGATACATGCCCTGCCCACCTCATCCTCCTTAACTTGATCATTCTAATTATACTTGGAGAAGAGTACAAGTTATGAAGCTCCTCATTATGCAGTTTTCTCCAACCTCCTGTCACTTCATCTCTCTTCGGTCCAAATATTCTCAACACCCTCAGTCTGTGTTCCTGCCTTAATGTCAGAGACCAAGTTTCACACCTGTACAGAACCACAGGCAACATTATAGTTTTGTATATTCTAATTTTTAGGTTTTTGGACAGCAGATGAGAAGACAAAAGGTTCTGGACTGAATGGTAGCAAGCATTACCAGTGTTCAATCTCCTCTTAATTTCCTCCTCAATCAGGTTTTGATTTGTTATTGATGTTCCCAAATATCTGAACCGTGCCACATTTTCAAAACATCTGTTTCCTGTCGTTATGTTATGATTTTGTCCTGCATTCTGGTGATGAGACAGCAAGATATACTTAGTATTCTCTTTGTTTACTTCTAGACCAGCCTCCTTACTTGTGTCAATTATATGTAGGCCATTTCAGAAATAATGCACATAATTTTTTGTTTACGTCCATGTTTATTTTTTTAATATCTCTTTACACTCCTTCAATATAGTCCCCCTGCTTCTCAATGACTGAGTCCCAACATGTGGGAAGCTTTACTATTCCATCCAGGACACCATCTTTGTTTATCTGTCGAAGGCTCAGGTACTGCAGCAGAAAGCTCTTCCAGAGAGGGAAAGCGACGGCCTCACATAGGTTGTTTCAACTTTGGGAATAGGTCGAAGTCTGGTAGACTCATGTCCGGGCTGTAGGGAGCATGAGGCAACACCTCCCAAACGTATTGGTGCAGCTTTTCTGTTACAGCATTCCTGATGTGCGGGCGAGCGTTTTCATGGAGAATGATCAGCCCAGCCTCGAGCAACTGAGGTCGGTTTTTGTGCATTTTTCTTTGCAGGTTTTGCATAAAGTCACGATAATAAACTGCTGTGACACTTTTCCCCCATGGAACTTTGTCTGTCATGATTCCTTGGTGATCATAAGCAAAGATCATCATTTGTTTGACCTTTGATTGAGATCATTGAAATTTTTTTGGTCATGGGGAAGATGCACCTCTCCACTTGTTGGATTGTGATTTCAGCTGTGGATTTGTCGGGTTTTTTCCATCTAAAGTTTCGATCTTAATGTACAACCTTTGATATTCAACAGTCACAATACCTGAGAACCGTGCAGGCTCCATTTCTAACTCACGTTATTTAAGAACAGAGTACATTATAAATGAAACAAAATAATGTGCTTCTTTCTCAAGCCCTGAACTGTAACTGACATGAGGCTCACTTGTTGAATCATCTAATCCGCAGTGTTGCCAATCTGTGCATTATTTATGAAATGACCCAGTAGTTTGTTTTTCTTTATGGTATCTATATTATCACCCAGTAGATTCACATCATCGGCATAGACCACCAGCTGAGATGTCCTGTTTAATTTCATTTCCACCTGGTTTTCCTGGACCTTCCTAATGGCATATTCTAAAGCAAAGTTGAAAAGGAGTGGCAATAAAGCATCTCCTTGTCTTAGACCATTCTGGACAGGAAATTTATCAGAGAACTGTTTACCTATACGAACTTAACTACACATTTTGTTTAAACACATTTTAATCAGCTTAACTAGTTTCATGGGTATCCCAAACTCTATCAGAATATTGTACAGTACTTCCCTCCTAACTGAATCACAGGCTATAAGGCCTGGCACTAGTTAATCAAATTCCTTACATTTCTTACATAACTGCTTTTTACATTGGTATCCTACATGTAGTGTAATGTATATAGGCTTTTAGTATACTGCAGTCATTACCAGTCTCAATCTGTGCTGCCCAAGTTGACACAAAGATTCTCTTTCCTGCCTGAGTGGCTGAATGATTTTTGGGTACCCCTCTAATAACTCTGAGAGCACATTCCATCTACACTCGACTCTTGCAACACCATGTCTCTTAGAGTTAGGATCATAAAAATAATGAATTCACCTTCCGTCTCAAGTCTCTTCAGTATTTTTGTGATTTGCATACATATACCATAAAGTGGTCAAATATACGTAGAGTAAATAGAAGTAGCAGATAAAAAATCAGTGACATAATATATACAAGATTTTTGTTATGATTTACAATGCTGAGCTTATATAGGTGTGATTAATATGAAATATATATATTAAAACTTGTGAAGAATTTGTTGCCAGCTGATTTTCAATTTCATATATGCAGTGAAATCAAAGACATGTGTGTTGTAATATGTTATTACAGGAACTCTTCCTACAGAGATAAAAAATTAAAAAGACCTGGAGATTCTGCTCACTGTTGGTTCTGCATTTCAGGCAAGGTGCTAGTTCACTGTCTAATGGGAATGTCACGATCCAGTACCTGTGTATTATCATACCTGATGATCAAAGAAGGTTTTACTGCTACTGAAGCATTGAGGCGGGTCCGACTTCATCGTGATATTCGCCCTAATGATGGCTTTCTTCACCAGCTGGCAGAGTTAGACAATAAGCTGAGACGAGAACGACGTCGTATATATGGTGTCTCTGATATGGTGTGAAAATTGGTCTTAAAACCCTGATGTGTGAGCATAGAACTATGTTAACCATGGAAAAATGAAATATGTAATCCACTACACATATCATAAATGCAGTGGCATTTTACCCGCTCTTCCATCAATTTCACCCTAAGATAAAACACCAAGAAACTGTATATAATTAAAACTCATTGGTCTGTCACAAAACATAACAACAACCATTCTAACAATTCCTTTGACCTTTTAGGCAGACCTGTCCCTTTAATGAAAATCTCATAATGCTGTAGATGTATTTAAGATTCCTGATATAACTATCAAAGGTAAGTGTATTACATAATGGCAACCTGTTGGTTTATTAATACTGCAGTGATAAGCATATTTATTCCCTTTCATAAAACAGTTAAGTTCTGATAACTGGTAAGAATTGCAATGTACAAGGAACATAGTTCACCTATGTGCCTAAGCATTTTCAATTCTAATGCCAGTGGGCAGAAGTCAAATTACAACCGTCCTATAGTTTTGAGTTAAAATAAGTACATCTGTGAATAAGTATTTTAGTCGGAGATTAGAGCACAAAATTCTTTTAAAAATCAAAATAATTTAAATAATCAATACCCTGTACCTTGTACAATATTAAAATTATCATAAAATATACTAATGCTATACTTCTGTAAAGATGTGCCTATATATGTAATTTATAGTATCTCAAGAATTGTGAATGATTAGCAGAAGCAGCATTGTAGCCTCAGCAAAAGCTATTGTACAAATATGAAAGACAAATATTCCAGTTTATGTAAGATTGAAATATGGTTATGCTATAAGTTATGGAAGCACACTTCATGAAATTGGTTGATGTAACAGTGAGTTTTATCAGTTCCTTAATAAATACCAACTTTTAAATAAGAAAAACTTCATATATTTATTTATCCTTACATACATCAATAATTTCTGTATTGTACAGCCTCATTTACAATATCTACAAATATTACATGCTTTAACTTTCATACATTGTACATTAATACATTCTTTCTTGAATAATTAAGACTTTTCTTCTGCAAGCCTTGGTTTCAATATTTTTTTAAATACAGTTTGTGTAAAAATACGAGATTCTCTCTTAATGCATCGCTCATAAAACATCTGAAAATATGTCAAGATTCTATGTTTAAGAGTGGGCCATACTGTTCTGAATGTAGGATTTCCTTTTACAGGGAATGCTCTCTATTAAATATATATGTGTTCTGAATAAATTAGGGAGATGTTAATGTGACATATAAACCCATTGCCAACTGAGAGTCATGTAAACAGGCATCAGTACAACAGCCACTGCTAGTGAACAGTTCTGTGGACACGTTTTCCTGATAATGACAACGTGGTAATGGAAGAGTGAGTTTTTGCAACTTGTGCCAGGGCTATATAAAAAGGACTAGTAATTCAGTTGAGTCAGTTGTAAAAAGTAACAACCTGGTTGCTGAGGCCAGGGACTGTTTGGGACCCCAGAGGAAAGGGAACATTTGCCATTGGAAGTTGCTACCAAGCAAGGGATAGTGAAGCCTGAGATGACTTTCTGCGTGCTGTGGTTAACAGTGATCTTTGGAATATGTAATTCAGTGAGACTGTTATTTGTGGCTATGAACGTGTCCAATAAATCTGATTACCAATCCAAACCCCATCTATTGTCACTAAACACATGACATTATCATCAAGACATGTAACAGGTCTAAAGATGAAGCGACATAGCATTTTCAGTTGTTAACATGATGGAGAATGGTGACATAAAAGAAATTTACTGACCAGAATGGGGGTTTTGCACTATGAGAAATTCACACACCTAGACAGAAGAAATTCTGGAAAGTAGTATGACGACCATAAATTATGTTTCTGAACTGCACGAGATATTTCATAGTTTCAGCTCTCTAATGCAGATCTACTTGTGACATTACCCAGTTTGATGGCAGTAATTATAATTTGTCAGTTACCTCAGTTATGACTGAATATCACATTGGTAATGCCTGGCTTCTATAAGCAACTTTAAAAAATCACAGTACTCCCTTAATCATCACTACAGACAGATACTCCTAATCATTGTTGTGGTGATATGAACTATTTGTAAATAACAGAATTATGTGGAAAGCTAGTGAAATTTAATAGTAATAATAATTATTTAAATTTTTATATGAAGGGTAAAACAGAAGGGGAACACTACATAGAAAAGATTCATACAATGAGAGGCTGACTGTAAAACTACAGTTATCTGGTAGATTCTAAAGGGTTCTGATGATGGTGGATGACACAGAATTACTGGGTTCTTCTACTTTTTCCATCGTCCAGAATTCTAGGTAATAGAGGACAGAACAGTTTGGAAACTGGATCTGTTTCTGTCTTCAGGTGAGAAAGGAAGACACCTACTCAGTTGGGCCCCTTAGAGCTAAAATTTCAATCACTGGTCCAGTTTCTGAAATGTCCTGTCCTCTATTACCTAGAATTCCGGACAAAGGAAAAAGTCCAAAAACCCAGTAATCCTGTAGTTATCTGATTGTTAAGAGTCTGTCATGGACTTTTGTTTGAGACCATCCTACATATATTTCATGTAAACTGACCTTAGCACGGTATCATATGAAGTTGTATGAAAAAAGTTATAATTTCCAAAATGTGAGAAGGGCTCTATGAACCCCCAAAATGCAAAATATTCAGTTACTTGATTCGTTCTTGACAATGCCTGTTATAAATGCATGATTTCAATTCAAGGCTTTGTAGTTGGCAGTAAATGTAAGAATTATGTGGGTGCTATTAATTAAGGGTAGGAAAAAAGTTAGGATGTACAAGAGATGATGAAACCTTAAACACGTCATTTAATTACAGTAGAACTAGGTTATAACGTCATCAAAGGGACCTAAAAATAGTGTCATTATAAACGAATGTCGTAACCGAAATGGGCACTTCCACAGTAGCCTTATGTTAGTCACGTAAAAATCTACCAAAAACCGAGTTAAAATGTTGCATTTTTTA